GAATCAGTAAATACAAAGGTGTTTTCGAGAAGGGATATCTTGCAAACTTTTCATCAGAGCTTTTCAAAATTTCCAAAATAAACACAACCAACCCTATAACATACTTGATCGAAGATATTATTGGAGGAAGACCAATCAAAGGATGTTTTTATGAAGTGGAATTGTTGAAAACGAGAAATTCAGATGTATACTTGGTTGAGAAAATTTTAAAGGAGAAAGGTGGCAAAGTATATGTGAAATGGCTGGGATTCTCGAACATACATAATTCATGGATTGATAAATCTGCAATTGTTTGAATCTAATTATATTGTAATGCATTCTTGAATAGTTTTAATAAATACATTATTTGAATCAATATTATTTCCTTTACACACACACCTCCCACCCACCCACACACACACACACACACACACACACACACACACACACACACACACACACACACACACACACACACAAATCATATAGAAATAATGATACGATTTTTTTTAAATATATATTTTTATTACATGAAAGATATATTTTTATTACATACCTACCTAATAGATATATTGACAAAGTATATTTGATTCATTATTATTACTCGCTAAGATCATTGTTCCAGATGACATCATTGCAGTCATTGGAGAAGGGTAGGTGCTGGTAGTAGAATCAGGCAATTTTTTTTCGACGGCTAATGTCAATCTATTCTCTTTCGAATTTCAGACAATTCATTAATCAGTGATTTAACTTCACTCTCCATGATGGTTTGCTTTTCAGCCATTGAAAATCTGAACGCAGTCTGTTGTTTATCAAAGAGAATCAGAGCATCTCTGACTACTAACGATACGTCAGCTTTCACAGCCTGTAATGCATCTTCTTTCACGTGGGCGATTTCTTTTTTCAAGGACTCCATCTCCATACGATGGCTGTTAATGATCGGAGCACCGACATTTATTAATTTTTTGCCTTGCAGATCGAAATTACCATCTTTATCTAGTTTGAAGCCTACACCTGCCGGGCCGCGTAGTGAAACAACGGATTTACTCTTTTTGCGCCCAAATTTATCGATAGTTTTATTCATCATTACCCGACAAATGATCAACTTATACTGAGCGCCCTATTCAATAGAGCTTACTATATACACAGAATGACGCTCATGTAGAAATAGTGAATATTTGAACTCTACCTAAATCACAAGTACTCAATAATAATATTTTTGTTTTTTACATTTAGAGGCTGACACTCGACATAAAATTATAATTACAAATATAGATTAGTACACACACACACACATATATATATATATATATATTTACAAAATGATGCTTATAAGTACTCAATATTTCCCTAATTACATCAGGACTATGACTATCTAATTTTATCATCACAAAAAAATAGATTTCCCAGTTTATGATTCAATTCATTTCTTCCTCCAATAGTTGGATCAGTAGATCTAATCTTTTTTCATCTTCAGTCATGAACGATTCTATTACTTGATTGCACCACCTAACATTATCCTCAGGATCGGATTTATAAAACTCGATATCACTATGTCCCCAAGGTAGGGTTTTCGTGATATTGGGGATTATAAACCGCTTGTCGTCATTATGTGAAAGAGCTACCTTGTTCTTCATCTCCGTATACATATCATGCAAATAACTTTTGAAACAATTCATCTTTCGGAATATGAGCCCACCTTGTTCTACTATGCTCTTATAATCGTCTAGATGTAATTGTTGTTGGACAACTGCGTGTGAGACCCCTTTCGCTTTTTTCAACTCGGTCCCTACCGATTGCACGTAATAAGCTTTAGCCCCTGTACCGTAGAAGCTCATTATGGGATCATTGGGGAACTCATCTTTCATATTCCCGAGAATTGATTTTGTTACAGGCATATTGAACTTATTATTTTGAGGGTAATTAGAAGTATCGAATTTCTCAATATTATCCTTCATGAATGCATAAAAATTATCTGTCTTAACTTTCAATATCAATGAATCGGTGTCTGTGTAGAGTAGCGATGCTCTATCACCGAAATTTGCCTTGATAAATTGATAATAAAAGTCATAAATAACGGTTTTAGACATGTCCAATATACAGAAACCCAAATACAATGGTTTATTATAATTAACTTTGACTTTACCCATATGTATAGCAAGAAAGTTCTCGGTGAATATGGAAGCACATTCAAAATTTGGACGTGATATTAAGGCGCAAGCACCAGCACTTCTGCCTATACTATGCCAACGAGTGACCAGTTTTATGTCGCGTCTCTTATCCACATTCTCCATCGTCTTACCATACACTGAATTAGTCATCATTTTGAACTGATTACTTTCAAACTTATTGGAGCTATTATTTCGCAATACGGTGTTCTTATCTATATATTTCTTCAACCACGGTGACTGATTGAATTTCAGTATTCTGTGAGTTCTCTCTAATAATAAACCATTGTAAATCGCCTGTTTTAGGTTTTTGTAGTGAACGACGTATTTTTTCTTATCGTTCAAGTTAGGTATGAGTTTATGAATTTTTGATTTAGAGTGCGGTGGTGTGATAGATTCGACTAAGAAAGGCATATCTGAATGGGTATCATGAAGTTCTGCAGGATAGTGAACATCAACCTCAAGTACATACCCAATTGGGCTATCGTCCGGAACACTCATGATATCCAATGTCTGTATTTCTTTAGGTGTTAGCCAACAGAAACCAGATGTCGGTAGCGGTTGTGACATACTATGACCGTAAAGATTCGTTGCATCTAAATAGGTAATGAATGATTGTGGTTCATCAGGTTTGAAATTTGGGAGGAATTTGTTATTAGCAACAGCTTTACGGTCAACGCAAGTACTTATTCCACCACGTATGCCTTTCTTAAAGAAATGTATCATATCAATATCAGTTAATAACTCCAATTCTACTTGAGTGCACTTGAGCATAGCGTCCCAAGATAAGCCAGGTGCAGTGTAGTATTGCGCGGGGTCTAAATCATAGGCTTTTAAGCAAATATTCCTAAAGTTTTCAAAAATATCACACAACAGTAAGACATCTGATTTAAGATATATATCCGAATACTCTCCAAGACTTTTACATTCGAACACATTCCAAACACGGACCGCTCTCATATAATCCTCATCTGAAACATGTTCATTCCTCAAGTTATCATAAAAATCGTCTTTACTCGGTAAGGTATCTGTATCTAGCTTGTCCATAGAACTAACAAAACTATATGGAAAAACGCCCTTTTGAGTCATCAATTCAAATTTATCCATTTCTGGAAAGTATTTTGCAGTATCAACCAGCTGGTCACGACTTAGAATCTTACCCAAATTGGCCAAGGATGATGCCATGAATCTAAAACTATCAATAAATCGAAGTTTCAAGAAAACCTTTTTCATTTGACCGTTTTTACCCATATAACTATCGACAAATATGTACTTAGTGAATGATAAATATTTTTCTTTGGTTTGAGGAATAACATCCACTCTCTCACTATTGTCACCATCTGCGAATAACTGTTTTATGAACATATGACTGTCGTAACCACTCATGTTGTGAGATATGACTGGAATAAAGTTCGGTAACTTAAAATTCAAATTACAGACAGAATGCGCGGCCCCAAATCTTTTATGACCTGTTATATGACAATGGTCTCTCACTTTTACATCGTTATCATCAAAGGGCTTCTTACAGATACCACACTCTGTTGCATTTGAGAATTCCAACTCTTCCTGAATAGTCAATTTTTTCATTGGAACTACATGTTTCAAATAAGAATTGTAAATGTTCTCTGATTCACTGACTAACTTATCGACAAACTTTTTTGCAGCGTCCTTGCCTCGATAAGTCACAAATTTTGATTTGGAGTCATCAAAGGAACATTTGATAAGGAATGCGAAAGAATACGGTTCGTGTTCGAATGTTTTGTTTGTAAAAGAATGCTCCGGATCGGGTTCACTGGTGAGAATTGGTTTCAAAATTGATTCAAAATCTGCGTAGATAGTAAACGGCACCTTCAACTGTCTCTCAAAATTTTCGAATTTCAATATATTTTCAGGTACTTCCCTACCAAATTTGTCAATTTTCAATTCTGTTGTTGGTGTTCTGGTGTAGATATGATTGCAATCATGTAAGCGATGATTGATCAATTTGCGCTCATCATTAAAATAGATCAAACAACCGTCGCAAAAATATTTTCTACTCCTGTTTTTAGATATTTGAGTAGATACCAATCTCGATAGATCTTTGATCCAACAATAATGACTATTACCGCTCTCATCATCAGTAATGAGTAGCAAATTAACATGTTTGTCTAGCACCTTCTGAGAATAATGTAAAGGTCCAACTATTTCATACTTCATCTTACTATCTTCGAATATATTCTCTAATCCGTAAACGTTAATGGAGCAGTCATTGAGGCCCTCAAATTTTGAAATATCGCGTAATTTGACTGGGAAATCTATACCTGTTATGTTTAAAACAGTGGAGAAATGAGGGTATGAAGATATCAAATGACTGCGTACTGCTGCTGGATATAATGCTGACGTTACAGTAGTGACCGTTGTGGAAGCGGCAGTATCCAGTCTCACTCGTTTTGCTGAGGGTGCACCACCAACTGACGCCCCACATGAACCTCTTTCATGTCTACGTAAGTTGTCAGTACGTGTGAACACTTTTCCGCAGTTATTACATGAAATCACATTGTTCTGATTAGGAGCTGATGATGTCTGCGCACTAGTATCCACATTCGCCCGATTCACTGGAGGTGTACCAGCTGTATGACCCGACCCTTTTTCATGTCTCCTCAGACTACCAGCACGCGTGTACAATTTGCCGCAGGTAATACAAGAGTACATTTTGCTTCACTGATGATACTTTCACACTGAATTGACTAAGAGGTTGCTGGACACTGCTTTTGAAGTTCGTAAACTGACTGAATTATTAGCGAACACCACAATTTATAACCGATCTCCTTCCACGTCGAGAAGGAACCTCCCTAACCAATCAACAAATCATAGGTCGCCTCCTACTTCTACGTCAAGAATCACCCAACCAACGGCGACTGGTGTTTACACAGTCCTCCGAATTTCAAAGCGATATCCGTTTCCACTCCACTGCACGCTCAAGGCCACCCACGGTCCGGGTCGATGCGAACAGCTGCAGGTCCTTTCAGACCCCTTCGAAGGCCCACATCGTCTCACGCTCAAGACCACCCACGTCCAAGGTCGCTGACGTCACTGCGGCGACGGTGCGGTGCAGTCACATGCTCAAGACCACCCACGTTCGAGGTTGCTGCATCGCTGCGGCGGGTCTTTTCAGACCCCTTCGAAGGCCCACATCGTCTCACGCTCAAGACCACCCACGTCCAAGGTCACTGACGTCACTGCGGCGACGGTGCGGTGCAGTCACATGCCCAAGACCACACACGTTCAAGGCCGCCCACGTTCAAGGTTGCTGCACCTCTGAGGTGCACTCACATAACCCTCCTACTATGGTTGGACATCGGTTTCTAACAAATCTTACTATGGTATAACTTGTCATTTCATAGACGACACTTGGACTTTTCAATCGCTTGTAATAGATTTTGTTCCCTCGCGTGGCCAACATACCGGCAAAGATATTGGTCACTGTTTTTATAATTCGCTAGTTACATACGATTTGCAACAGAAAATTCAAGGAATTACTGTAGACAATGTTTCTGCCAACACCTTATTTATGTCTGAACTTTCAAAAATTATTCACGAAAAACATGGTAAATTATTTGATGAAGAAGATCAACATTTTCGTTGTATTGCTCACGTGCTAAATTTAGCTGTGCAAGACTTATTGAAGATATTAAAAATTGAAAATGACGGCGCTGACGCTGAAATTGAAGCTGACACTGAAGACGAAGAAATGGAAATCGAAAACGAAAACTGTGATGATGAAGAAGATACCAATGTTGACACTTCCCCTGTTTTAAAAATACGAGCTTTATGCAAAAAAATTAAAGCTTCGGAGCAATGGCAGCTTAAATTAAAAACCTGTTGCGAGCTAACTAATGTCAAAATGCTGTTAACGCTCATCATTGACGTACCTACAAGATGGAATTCGACATTTGACATGATTAAAGTATCATTGAAAATGCGACATCCCCTCAACGCTCTTTGCGACAACAACGCCAAACTGAAATTTTTACGCGTAAATGAAAATGAGTGGGATCTGCTCAAACAAATCTGTGGTCATCTTCATAGTTTCAAATCTTTGTCTACTCTTCTTGGTGGAGAAAAATACGTTACACTACCAATGGTAGTGATGAGCCTCAACATTCTAATCGACAAACTAGAAGAGGACGCACAACATCTAGATCAAAAAATTGATAGAACTGAAGTAGACGAAGCTATAATTTTAGCTCTGCAAGCTGCTCGCGACAAAATTCTCAAGCACTATGCGGAGACAAACTGGGTGTACTGCGCCGTTCTAATTTTAGACCCAAGACATAAAATCGAAACCTTTGAACTGACCCGATGGGGTCGTGATTTGCGAGATGGTTCTATTCTAAAATTTGAGGAGTTGTACAAACAAAATTATTATGTTCCACCTCTTAAGCAAGCAGATCAAGCTGAAGCTGATGAAATAATCCAAAATCAACGTTTAACAGCTGATAATGAGAATATTGAGAATTTAACTGACTCTGAAGATAACAATCCACTTGACTTCAATTTTTTATTTGAAAGTTCTACCTCTTCTACAGACAATTTTATTGACAACCCAAATTTCTGGAGAAAAGAAATTGATGAGTACCTTTCAAGTAAACGTGCTCCAAGAGAAGAAGATATTCTTGTTTGGTGGCGCAAGCATCAGTTTGCTTATCCTACATTAGCCAAAATGGCACGCGATTTGCTGAGTATTCCTGCCACATCTGTTCCAGCAGAACGCTTATTTTCTAGAGCTTCGCTTACCATTCGTAAACATAGGAATAGGCTTAATTCCGATTCAGCCAGGTCACTCCTATGTATCAATTCATGGGCTACCTGTCAGCTTCATGAAAGTATTAAAAAATATGTTTCTGTTTAAAATTCAATTTGTTTCTTTAACGTACTTAAATTTGAAACATATTAAACGTTTGTAACTTTTTTTTTGTATTATTTGTAATATAGATTTGAAAATAATCAAGAGTTTTGAATAAAAGTCTTGTATGGAAAATGAAAAGTCTTGTCTTGAAAATGAAAAGTCTTGTCTTGTCTAGATAATCTAGACAAGACATATTGATGATCTTGTCTTGATATTCTAGACAAGACAAGACAAGAGTCTAGAATGTATAAGTCTAGACGGCAACACTAATTCTCACGAATTTATTTTTCAATATTACAAAAGTGAGGCATGAACTGGTTAACCTATGATCTCAACATTCTTAACATAAAAGCCAAGGAAATGGCAGAGAAAACAACCCATTCCTGAATTCTTATTCGCAGCTGATTTGGAAGGAAAGGTTAAAATAGCCAAACAACTAGAATTTTAAGGTGATGAATTTTAGATTTTCAACACCTTGTAGGGCAATGAAGAACATTTGCGATAAAAATGGGGGAGGGCGTCATAAAGTGTTAAAGTGTGTTTTTAACCGCCAGCTTAGTTGCAAAGCAACCCTCGAAAGTCAGAGACTTGTATGAGTTAAGAAGACGGGGACCTTAGCTTTTTAAGTGTCATCCGAAGATGCTTAAACAAAACTCTTCTACAGATTTCGCCCGGTTCGCCGTTCACAAACAAACACATGGACACATGGAGGGAGTTGAACCAAATTGAAGGGCAAACCTCACGACAAGACAGGAATTATACGAATAAAACATACTAGTATCGGCCTTGAAGTGTGAATACTCAATGGTATCGGTGAGTCATAATAGTTCAGCCGGCCGGCTCAAACTATTCTTTGATGAATGGTTGAATTTTACCTCGAATCAAACTGTCTTGGGTGAATGGTTACAGATTACCCTTCATCAAATTGCCTTCACAAACGAAGTCGCTCACCACATCCTTCTCACTTAGTGATACTCGATTGATGAGGAAACAATAAAATTGTGACTCTCGCAAGGTGCAGTGGTCAAAGGCATAGAAAAATCAAAAAATCTGTTCTTATCTAGAATCTTTCTAGCCGACAAGTCAAATGGGAAGAAACGTTTCATTTTGAACTCGAAGCCTCTCAATGACTTCATTGAGGCACCCAATTTCAAGATGGAAAACATTCAAATGATTTCGAAATCAATTTCACAAAATTATTATTTGGCATTTATAGATTTAGAGGACGCGAATCACTTGTGAACAATACACAAGTCACAGAAAATATTTGCGATTTCCTCTTGATAATCAAATCTATATGAATTTACATGTCTTCCGCTTGGATTATCATCAGCTTCCATATACCTTTTCAAGATTAATGAAACCAGTTATTAAAAATATAAGGAGAAAAGGTATATGATGCTGAACTACCAAGATGATTTCTTTATTTTTGGCAAAAACTACAACCACAGCAGAGTCATTGTTATGGTAACACTTGAATAATTGCAAATAAAGCTTGGCTTCATCTTGAATCAACAGAACAGTATTCTATAAGAGCCAATAAATCGGGCAAATTATATGGATTTGTTTTCAATAGCGACTCAAACAAGTCACGCTTCTATAGATGAGCAAAAAGAAAACATTGTGAATTTCATAAGTTACTCGAAATCAAGACCATCATGCGAGTTTCGAGAATTCGCACAATTTGTTGGTTCATTGGTGTCTGACTGTACTCCTATAAAACTCTAGATAGAGGAAAATATTTGACTCTCTTGATCACCAACGATTATGTTGCTCATATGCGCCTACGGCCACTCTTATGATCTGATCTGAACTGTTGGCTAGATAACATTTGAATAGTATAAAGCTACTTCAATAGATAATATTTTGATCTAGAAATATTCACAGATGTTCCACTGACCGGTTGGGGGGTTCACTCGAATGGGGGACGAACCCATGGATAGTGGACACCTGCTTGCAGTATTTCACGGTATCAGATGTTTCGCCATTCACATAGAAATTGCAATATTTTGATAAGAACAGATATCACCAAAGCTCTTTCGAATATCAATCTTATGAAGAGTGTCATCAGCTACTAGAGCTGAGCCAATTGAAAAAAAAAAAAAAACTGGCTATATAAGCCTATCAGCCTCATATATAGATTCCAATAATAATAATGGACAGGCTGACCAGGAATCTCGCAAACTTCCACCCAGAACGGAGTGGTATTTAGCTTCATACGCATAAAAAAAAAACAGCAGTAGTTATCAGATCAATTCACGACGAAAAACAACTTCAAATGCCCAAAGTGTGCATCATGGCATTGATATCCTGAAGAAGTGGCAGTTAATGCTATCACACTTCCTAGGAGTGATATGATGTTTCATGCATTTCCTCTTTTTTGTGATCCTAAGAATTGTTTAGAATATCATCATTGAGTATTTTGAGTATTCAACTAGTATATATAATCAAGGATATCATACAAGACAAGGCGGAGGGGATATTAGTAGTACCGCCGACTCAGCCATGGTATCCCTTGTTGCTGAAATTGACGTCGGATGGCGCCGGTAATATTCAAACCGAAACGTGAATTGTTCACAACACAATACATTCATTCCCTATCAAGCATATCCTGGAGAATGACAGACCATCAGACGAGCATTACTACTAAAAAACTTTCCACCAAGCGCCATAGATACTGCGCTTTGCTCCTTGTCAGAATCTACGATAAGCCAATATATTTCTAGGTATTAACTCTGCTTGCAATTTTGCTCACAAAAGAAGTTACTGCCGTTCGAAGGTGAGGCACATGATTGTATGAAGTTTCTTCAAGAATTGGTTGTTCAAGGAAACCGGAAATTTTTAACCTTCAGCGCCCACCGATAAGCCCTTTCATCATTTTGCCTATCGAAGAAGATGAAAGAAGTGGAAGATTCTTGAGAATTGTAGCTAAGCTCAGACAATATTCACCAAGATACACGACTACATGGGGTTCATCGGATGTTCTGAAGTACTTTAGAACAAGCGAGAACATCAGGCTTGAAATCATTTTCTTTCAAACTAATCACTCTGCTTTTTCTGACCACAGGTCAAAGAATGCAAACTCCCTTACTGATTAAAATCGAGAACATGAAATAGTCTCCGAAGGAGTTGCGAATCTGTATACCTGACAGAGTGAAAACCACGGCTATCGAAGAAATCCACTTCACTTGGGGATACCATTTTTTAAGGAAAACCAGAAATTATACGCTGCAATAGTGGTGAAAAATTACCAGGAAGACACAAGGCCTATTCGAAATGATCCTATAGGTAATGTCTCTTTATCAACCATAAAAAACGTCACAAAATTGTATCTACGCAGACTTCGGGTAGATAGAGGGGTAGGTGAACATTGTCAGGCATATACATGGAGAAATTCCTCATTCGACGAGACATGGGCCGACTTCCCTAGCAAAGAAAGATAGACAAAAAAAAAAAAAAAAAAAAAAAAAAAAAAAAACAGGCGTGAGCCTGGACATCATTCAGCGAACGGCTGGATGGTCTTCTAATTCCCAAACGTTGATAAGTTGCAACGATAATTGTTAGAACCACTAGCCAAAAGTCTATGGAAGGGATTTCAGCATTCATTCAGAGTCATACTCAGTAGGTGAAGAATCTAACGAATTATTTTCAGTTTATTCATTGAAGCAAATTGATATGTTTCAAAGGTGAATATTGTAACATGTATCCATGAGCACTCGTTTCCTTTGATAGAATATCACCTGCTTTGGTATGGTAGACACTATGTTATATATATCATGAAAACCATACCTCCTTCCTAAAGTGGTCCAATTTTTTTTTCAGTCGACAGAATTGATGTCGTTTGTTTTTCTTCGATTATATTATATGTTGAATAACATTTGATCAATAAAATCGTAGGAATCTTTCTAAAATGAGGAAGCAGTATGTACATACATTGTACATGGCAGTACTCATCGTAACCTGTCTTTAAACAACTACAGAATGTGATATCGAAGGCTGGACGTGAAATATAATCGAACGATTAAACGAACTTACCTAAGTGAAGTTCAATCGTGATTATATGAAGCGTCCAGCCTGAAGATATCACCTCCCACCATCCCCTGAGCAAATATAAATACCCCATACATAGGTTACGATGACAGAACTTTAAAACAATGAGAAATGGGAGTAACGGTATCCCAGGGATAGAGAACAGGAGAAAGGGAGAGCGAGAATCTTTAAATATTGTGCGTAGCAGTATCGACAGGGCGTACTACAGAATGTGATATCTTCAGGCTGGACGCTTCATATAATCACGATTGAACTTCACTTAGGTAAGTTCGTTTAATCGTTCGATTCTATTCAAGAAATGAAAAAAAATTAGTTCACTCGCCTATTCAACGATGACAAATTACATTGGAGAATTGGATAGCTTCGGAGAATTATAATTCTGGACATGACGAATTTTTTGTCGTTTTCACGATGTTCTTCGAAAATTATATGAATTTTCTTTCGTGCGGTCAAAGGGATAAAAAATATATATCATCGGGATCGGATCCCGTTCATTCGGAAATAGTTTGAGTTTTCCACTGTTTTCCTCTCCTCAATTCCACGGATTTCCATTATATCTGAAATCCCTGCTGAATTAGAGTCCCCAGAGACGGAGAACACATTTACTGCCAATATTACTTTTGGCCGAGAACTTTATCTCTGAATTTAATAAACGCCGTTGAATGGGTTGTTTTTTTCGTTTTTCTCGTATTTTCTTTGGCACCTTATAGATGTGCGGGCACTTCCATTATTTTGAGATTGATATTGATGTTCCATCAAGAGGGACAGTGAGTGTGGTCTGAATAATCACCCGGGTTGTTATTGAACTCGGGATATAATGGAAAACCTTTTCACAAATATCGAATTCTCCAAAAAATAACTCTGAAACAGAAGATATGTTGTGCATCTATATAGGGTGCCCGTTTTTCGAGCTCCACCATGTTAATATAAGAGATACGAGGTCGGTTAAATTAGGGTAAAGTTGCGCTTTTTCATGCTGATCATTTATCTGCAAGAAAATTCGATTTGTCATTTTCAGTTTTTGAATTATTTGAAGAAAACGAAAATGTGCAATTCTCGTTTTCATTCTTTCAAGCGAAAACCAAAAACTTAGACGTTTCTGCCCTAATAACACAATTATGTCCCATGGATATCCTTAGGACGTCCTGCCGGGACATTCAGGACGTCTATAGGACGTTGGAATCTGGTACCGTGAACGTCCGTTGGACGTTTGTGGGCCGCACAAATGTCCCACTTGAGGACCAACTAGGGACGTTCTTGAGAGATGTCCCTGGGACAACTATCGAATACCTGAATCCTACAGTATTCTTCATCAAACACTATGGAGGACATCGTTAGGACATCCAACGCTGAGGGATATCAATTGGATGTACATAGGATGTCCCAGGAACGTAAGCATTATTCTTATATTTGAATTCTTCTGGGTCCCTCTAGGCATAACTGATGAGGACATCCAGTTGAGTTGATGGTCCGTACAAAGTCCCCAATAGATCCTGAAAAGGATGTCCAATGGACTGACGTGAAGGACATTGACGGGAAGTATTTATAGCCTACGAGCAATCATACGTCGGCGAGATGTAAGTTGACGTCCTCGCAGGGACATTATATTGAAAGTATCGACTGAGACGAACCACACCACTCAACGTTGAGTTACCATGGACTTCTTTCAAAAAACTTTTTCTCTCAACATTCCTTCAAAGCTCTGAAATCAAAAGACTCAAAGTTTCTCAAGCATCCGGCCCGTACTAGAATATTGTTTCACATACCTGCGGGATTTAGTATCCTAACATACACTAATTTTCTGAGATTGATTTACCTGGTATGGTGATGCTACACTTACAAGTTTTTTATCTCACCATAAAACGGCAAATCTTCAAAATTCTTTGCCAAGGGAAGTGTTTTCAAGAACTTACAACTTATCCACCCCAGGTACACACGATTTTGAACGACCACAATAGAGATTATCTTTCGAGCGTGCAAAAAAATAAAGTGAATTTTCTAACGTATGTCTGTTCCATCGCTTTATCGTTTCTGTTTTTTCCTTTCGGCTTCTATCTCCTCGGATCCGTATCGACTAAAATTACAATATTCGTGAATGCGTGTCATGTATCTTATGAGAAACGAACGTTATAGTCAGGGAGCTAGTAAGTTATTTTTGTGTTCACAATTTGTGTAGCTCAGAAAGCACATTCAACAGCATACGATTATTGGAAATTGGAAATACAAACCAAACCAGCCAACACAATATAGTTGGCGATTCGATGGCCCATTGATTCAATCGATGGCATACTGCTGGCAATCTTTTTTGCTGATGAGAAAGTATATGTTCATTGCTGTTTCAATCTTATGAAACGTATGCTGCAGTCAAGTCAAGTATATTTCCTATAGATTTATGTTAATCAAGACTACACTATTTTTGCGGCACTGGAGCAGTACTGTTAGAAACGATGAATAAAGGATATAGGTTACTCAATGTCATGAAGCTATAAATGAAATGACAATGGACCATCGGCCTATCAGATGCATTTTATTGACTTCATTTTTTCGACAATGGGATTGCTGTGTTTTCCATAGATCTTCCATTCTGTTTTTTCTTCCTTTTTTTTCAGTAGTGGTCATTTTTTATTATTGTGAGCTGTGAAGTGAACAGTGAATAGATATAAGGTTGTATGGGTGCATTATTATTCAATTCCATCAAATCGAAATAACGAATTCAGTTGTATAGTGTGTTTCTTCTTCAAGAACATCCGTCGTGCTGATATGTTAGTACCTACCCATACCATGAAATTGAAGTTCACAAATATGTCATTCAAGATACCAAAGGAGAAAAGTTCTCGAGTTTTTGCCATTTTTCAGATATTCCAGAAATTACAATAGAATCAACAGAACGGAATTCGGGAACTCTTGGTTGATTTACCAAAGCAGATGTGGATATACAGGGCGGCTTAAAATGCGATGTAAATATTTCGAGAACGTATTGTTAGGATCAAAATAAGACTTCGTCTTCCCATAAACATTCGCCCTTGAATGCACCCTGTATAACTGAATAAGTGAAAAGAGAAGTCTCATTGTAGCAAGTGATCATTATTATTATCATTATTATTATAAGTAAATAGTTATTTGTTTAACTAGGCAGCAAAGTAGTAGATTGACTGCCGTGGCTGAATTCATAGCCGAGCGTAGCGAGGCTAGGAATCCAGCAAAGGCAGTCAATCTACTGTGCTGCCGAGTTGAACATATGATTTTTTCTCCGATTGTTCATAATGATATGGAAGAATATTGTGTATGCGGATTAATACAATTCCCACAATCTCTTTATTCTTCCTGTATAGTGTTCAATTAAAAAAAAATTTGATAGAAATCGCAGTTGTTGGTTTGACAATTCATGAAATTTCTGACAGTTGTGCGAAACAATATCGGTATATTTAAATTATTATATAATTGACAGTGATAGCGACCTGGAAGTATACTTACACCTCCATTAATAAGGAAGGTGGCAAAAAATATATAGTTGAATTT